CGCCCCCGCCTCCCCTCCCTCCCCGTTCCCTTCCCGATCTCGCACCATCCGTCATCGCACCCCCCCTCTCATTCCCCCCCCATCGCCCCCTCCCCCGCCCTGTCCCCCCCTATCATCGGCATAGGTTTTCGTCGCCATCGCCATGGACATCAGCGCGCCGTCGGCCACCCGGGGCGGGGGGCGGGGCCGGGGCCGGGGGGCGCCGGGGCCGAGGCGGGGGGCGCGGAGTTCTGTCGCCAGAGACTGACCGCCATCGCGCGGCCATCGACGGCCGCGCCAAGCTCATCGAGAGGTTCTGCGGCGAAGAGCGCCGCCTCGTCGTCGATCGTCACAACTGCGACCGCGAACCTCAGCGTCGCGCCGAGCCCCAGCTAGAATAGCCCCGCCCGCAGAAATCGGCAGCGGCCGGCCCTCGCAACAGGCGCCCGGTGACTTCGAAGCGCGCGGCGAGCCCCCGTCGCCTGTCATTGCGCCGCTGGCAAGTGCGCCTTCGTCGGCGGGCCCCTCGCCCGACGCGGGCCCCGCTGCCCCTCGGAGCGACTGACGCCAACGTTCGCGATGGCATCGACCGTTTGGCGTCACTGTGCAGGGCGAGAACGGGCGCCCGACGAGGTTCGACCGCCGCGAGCCGGCAGCCGCGAGGACTGACCGTGCACTCGTCAGTGCGCCTGCTCATGCCACCCCAAGCCTGCCCGCCCATCTACACGCGAACCAGGAGGCGGCGACTTTGAATGGCGCCCGCACGCGTGACCACTGCATCCGATCGCTACGCATGAAGCCGAAGGAACTGGCGCAGGACGAGTGCCACCGCATGTTTGGCTTCCTCTTCGCGCAGTTTAAAGGTCACTAAGATCTACTGGAATCATTCCCCCGCCTGCAGGGCCGCTCTCCTGCTCGGCGCCCGCGGATCACGAAGACCAGCATGGCCAGCGCAGCAAAGCTCGCCGGGGTCGCCTCACCGCCGCGCCTGAAGGCTCAAGGCGGCAACCCGTCATCGCGGCACGCACCATCACCGCGCGCTCCAATTTCTCGAGCAGCACGGAGTCAAGGCGCGAGACTCGCGGCCAATATCACGCAGCACGCGGACCTTAGCAACGAACACCTGAACGTCGAGGGCGGCTGTGTCACGCAGAACAGCTAAACGGGCTGTGCCACTTCAGCAGCAGCATATACTCACCGTCCACATGTCGGTTCTCTTCAGAAGGAGGCCGAGGTCCAAGCCGCCAGAGCAGCGCGCCTCCAGAGGACGCGCGACCTCGAGCACATCATGAAGCAACAGCACGTGCTCCAGCGTCGGAGCCGACTATGGGCGCCCTTCGCTTCGCGGCTGCCGCTCAAGGGCATCAATATGCACGGGGCGATCTGCTCGCCCAAGGCCCCGAAAGGACGCCGAAGGCGCCGACGGGCCCCTGGAAGCCGATCTTCGCGGCCAAGCTCGTCAACCAAGCCATCTTCGACCAGGTCCTCGACGACCGCAACCCCATCAGACATCCCCAAGGTCTGACTCCCGCTGCCCACCGCTGCCTCGATGACGAACGCTGCCAGGGTCGCGCGCGACTCGGCATCCGAGCCCGATCAGATCCCGCACTAAGTGCAACGTCTTGCTGGCTGTCGAGGACAGTTTCGACCTGCTCGAGGACGTCGCCGAGGACCTTCGGACTCGGCATCTTCCCCGAGGCCCCCTGGCGCGCTGCGCTCGGGAAGCGGGCGCCCTCCGCCCCATCGCGCGCGCGGAAAAAGAGCTGGCCCAAAGAGCATCGCGCCCGCGATGACTCGCAGAGTGGTTTTGCAAGTCGGCTCGCACGCTCGCGCAGCGCAGCGAGGCTTCATCGGGGGCAGAACCTCGCGCCAGGACATCGCCCATATCAACGGGGAAGCTCGCGCCGTAAGCGCCCAGGCGGATGCGCAGAACTCCGAGCCGATGATCCTCTTCTTCGACATCGCAATCGCCTCCGCCTTCCCGCGCAGACACAGGCTGTTCGGGGCCCTCGAGCGCTTGTATCCCCAGCGGTTCATCAACGCGGTGCACGGCCCTTGCGACAGGGCTAATGGTATGGCCCTGCTAGGAGGTGGCCACCGCGACTTCGGCGCGGGCAGTGGCGGTGGATCCCGCTCTATACGACATTGCCAACATCTTTTCTGCCCAAGCGGGGCGGTTGGCGTTTGCGCCGGCGGCGCGGGCGCGGTCAATAGCAGCGTCCAAACCTTGCCGAATATTGCCGCGGTCTTTGACAAGGCGCGCGAGCTTGGCACCCTGCAGTCATTCCTCTGTTGCAGGACCTCGATGAGGCCAGCTTCCGAGGTCGAGCCGGTCACGTCCGCAGTAGTGCCCCAATGGCTGGGGATCCAGATCAAGGGCGTCGGCAAGCACCTCGGGGCGCAGCTGGGCCCAAGTGCGGCCCCCGAAGTTCAATGGGTTGAAGCTGCAAAGAACTGGTGGCCCCGCGTGGTGCTCATAGGGCACATATCCGCCCCTGTCGGCGTCAATGCGCGGCTCGACGGCACCCGCCGCCTCTCCGCGGTGCCCCACCTCATGCATGCTACCCGGTGCCCAAGAAGCTCGCCACGAAGGAGGCCCATGATCTTCGCAAAGTATTTCGCTCGCCGCCATCGTTGTTCAAGCTACCGGGCATTTTTTTCTGGGCGCCTGGCCCCCCACTATTGCCGCCATGCCGACGCGCGCTACGGCGGCGGACCCAATCTGGAGAATGGCCAAGTTCACGATCCCAGCCGAGCGCGACACCGCCGAGAGGCTCGAGCTGATGGCCACATAGAGCATTTGTCTGCCCGCCTTCGCTGTTAAAGAGTTGAGCCCGCAGTTCTGGCGCGCCCAGATGTCCATCGCTCAGCGTTGCTTTTTTGGTGATCAGCGACCAGCCGATCGACGCCCCTGCCAGACTGCATCGTTAGATTGGGGTATATGTGGGCACTGCCACGCGCGCAGTGACGGCCTCGCCGGAGGAACTTCGGCGTCTGCACTTGCGAGGGATATTCACGCGCACCTTACAAGCGATATGGTTCCCTGACAGATTCCACCGCGCCATCAAGAAGCGGCTGACGGCTTGGCTCGGAGCTGATGCTGTACCTGTGGACCTATTGCGAAGGCCTTGCTGCCGGCGCCGCCGACCCTGAGAACGATGAAGATGAAAACGAGGAGGAGGAGGAGTGGGAGGTGGAGGAAGGGTGAACAAGGTGGGTGAGGGAGGAGGAGGGGGAGAAGGATGTGGAGGAGAAGCAAGAGGAGGAGAAGGAGGCAGAGGAGAGCAGGAGGAGGGGGAGCAGGGGGGGGGGAGGAGGAGGAGGAGGAGGAGGAGGAGGAGGAGGAGGAGGAGGAGGAGGAGGAGGAGGAGGAGGAGGAGGAGAGGAGGAGTGAGGAGGAGGAGGAGGAGTGAGAGTGGAGCCGGGGATAGGTTGTTCAGCGGCTCGCTTGGACAGGGCCTGGGGCTCTCTTGAGGCCGTATTGGGCCGTCCAGGGTTCTGTTGCGCCGTCTCGAGGCACTCTTGGAGGCCTCCTGGGCAATTTGGGTCTCTCCTGGGCTGTTTTGAGGCAGTTTGGGGGCCCTTTGGGAGCCTCTTGGGGCCTCTTGGGGTTTCTTCGGGGCCTCTTTGGGGCCTCTTGGGGCTGAGAGCTCGAAATGTGGCGTCCTGGATTCCACCGCGCCATCAAGAAGCGGCTGACGGCTTGGCTCGGAGCTGATGCTGTACCTGCGGACCTATTTTAAGGGTGGCAAGCGCTGAAGCTGGCGCCGATGAAGGCACCCCCCGCGCGCCGGCGGGCCATGGCCCACGCGCTCGCAGGATGATGGCGCACGAGCTGTCGCATGCATGTGCTTCCTATTCGTATCCCGCGTATGTATGCGGGGCTGCCTGGGCACCAAGGACGAGATCCACCATTGCGCGCAGCGTCCGAGGCCCATGCGCCAGGTTGCCCGACAGAGACAGCACCTCCACGGCACAGTGCTGGAGCGGCTCGCCCTGGGCCCCATTCAGAGCTACACCGGGCAGGGCACCGAGCGCTCGATGGCCGCGGCCGCCCGTTCCACGGCCTTCGCCACTACCACTACCTCGAGGTGAAGAAGTTCGGCCCGTCCGACGAGCACGGCAAGCATCGACTTGCCCATTTCGCCGCCATGGACAGGCTCATGTCGCGAGCCCGCTCCGCCCAGCCCCGCCTTGCGGTCCACGGCCTTCGCCACTACCACTACCTCGAGGTGAAGAAGTTCGGCCCGTCCGACGAGCACGGCAAGCATCGACTTGCCCATTTCGCCGCCATGGACAGGCTCATGTCGCGAGCCCGCTCCGCCCAGCCCCGCCTTGCGGTGGCGCCGTACTATCCCGTCGCAGCCACGGTCGTTCCAACTCCTTTTCCTCCTCCTCCTCCTTTTCCTCCTGTGCCTCCTCCTCCTCCTCCTCTTCCACCTCCTCCACCTCCTCCTCCTCCTCCTCATCCTCCTCCTCCTCCTCCTCCTCCTCCTCCTCCTTCTCCTCCTCCTCCTCCTCCTCCTCCTCCTCCTCTTCCTCTTCCTCTTCCTCCTTCTCCCTCCTCCCTCCTCCCTCCTCTCTCCCTCCCTCCCTCCCTCCAGCGACGAGGCGGGCGGACGCGGAAGAGGCGGGTGGTGAACGGGAAGGGACGGACCACAGTTTCGCGCGCCCGGCGGGCAGAAGATTGGGGCCGCGAGGGGAGGGAAGGCGGGGCGGACAGGGGGGATGGCCGATCAGGGCCCCCCATCCCTCCCCTCCCCTCCCTCCCTCGCCCCCCCCCCCCCGTCCGCTTTCCAGCCTCCGAGCGCGTTTGCCCCTGGGGACGCCGGCGATGAGGGGGGCGGGGCGAGCAGGGCGATCAGGAGGAGGTGGGCCCGTGCAAGCTCGGTCCTCCACGCCCCCGCTCGCTTCGGCCGCCGTGCGCGCAAAGGAAGGATGAGGTGGGCACTGGTGGAGCGAGCCATGGCTGGCGGCAATTTTGCGGCAAACGCCCGCCTTCCGCGCGATCTCGGGGACAGGCAGACGCGCTGGCTGCAGGAGGACGTGCTCGATCTGCGGGCCGAGCTGGACGGGAAGGGTGGGGCCCCGCGTGCTGTTTTTGTTGCTCGGTACCCCGCATCCCCACCCCGCCCCCGTCCGTCCCTCCCCCCCTCCTCCCCTGTCATTCTTGGTATCCCTTCCCAAGTACCCTTCCCCATCCCTCGCCCCCTCGCCATCCCAATCTGCCTCCTGTGCCCACCTCCCCTTTGCCCCCCCCTTCCCCTTGCCGCGGCTCCTGCCCATTTCCACTCCACCATGGCAGGAGCAGTTGGTCCCTTCCTCATGCCCTGCCCTTGCTCACTCTCCCGTAGCAGGTGCGGTTGGGCTGACCCCATTCCTCTCTTGATCGGCCCCCCACATCCGCTTTCCTCCTCCTCCTCCTCCTCCTCCTCCTCCCCCTCCTCCTCCTCCTCCTCCTCCTCCTCCTCCTCCTCCTCCTCCCCCTCCTCGTCCTCCTCGTCGTCGTCCTCTTCTTCTTACTCCTACTTGTACTCCTCCTCGTCTTCCTGCTCTCTGTCCTCGTCCCCCTCCTCCTTCTCCTCCTCCCTTTTCTCCTCCTCCCCTCCTCCTCCTTTTCCTCTTCCTCCTCGTCCTCCTCCTCCTCCTCCTCCTCCTCCTCCTCCTCCTCCTCGTACTCCTCCTCCTCCTCGTCCTCCTCCTCCTCCTCGTCCTCCTCCTATTCCTACCCTTCTCCCGTTTTCGAATATACTCTTACTCCCTCCTCTGGCCGGCCGATAGGGGTTCCATCCGGGCCCTCCCATCCTAAGTAGTCGTGTTTTCTCTCAACTTGACCTTTCTTATCGTCGACGATGCGAAATGCGCAGCAGGAATAGGACGCGGCGCACAGCGGGCGCGGCCGTCAATCCGGGCCCTCCCATCCTAACTGTAGTCTATACAAAGTCGTCGTGTTTCTCTCAGCATGGCCTTTCTTGTCGTCGACGATGCGAAATGCGTAGCAGGAATGCGACGAGGCGAACATGGCGCGCGAACGTTTGGGGCAACCCCACCCCAAGCGGAAGGGGCAATCCGACCTTTCAAAAACCATACAAAGTCTATATGTTTTTCTCAGTGGGGATTGTCTTGTCGTCGGCTTTGCGAAATGCGTGACAGGAAGGGGGCGCGGTGCACATCGCACGCGACAGGGCGAAATGTCGCTCTCGCTTCGGCGCCGCGCGATGTTTTCTGTATGTTGCGCTCCCGCTAAGGCGCGGCGCACATGTTTCGCTCGCCAAGTCGTCGAGCGCCTAGGGCCCCCTGGGGCCTCCCAGGGTCTCCTGGGACATCCTGGGGTTTCCCGGGGCTTCCCCAGGGCCTCGTGGATCCTCCTGGAGCCTCCTGAGGCATCCTGGGGCTTTCTGGGATTCCCCGGGGGCTTCCTGACACTTCCTAGGGCTTCCTGAAGCCTCCTGGAATTATCTGGGGCTTCCTGGGCCCTCCTGAAGCTTCCTGGGGCTTCCTGGGAGTCGCTGGGGCTTCTCCTGAGGCTTCCTGGGGCCTCCTGAGGCTTCCTGGGGCCTCCTGAGGCTTCCTGGGGCCTCCTCGGCTCGTGCTGAAATGCCAGCGCAGTCTTTGAGACGCGCCATGGATTTCTCATCGGTAACCGCCATCGCGGCTGCATCAGCGTGACAAACCACCTTGCCGATCTGATTTCGGTCCCCAATTGCGCCAGCACTGTTTCTTATGTTGTGGGAGGGCGGGTGGGAACGGGTATGCCATGCTTGACTCGCTCGAGCTGGCTAGCTTGACTCCTACCCCTACCCCGCTCCCACTCCTTCTCTTACTCCTACTCCCACTCATACCATCACTGCTATAAGTGTTGCTTCTACTACCACTAGTACGATTACTACCATTACTACCACCGCTCTTACTACTCCTACTACTACTCCTACTATTACTACTACTACTACTACTACTACTACTACTACTACTACTACTACTACTACTACTACTACTACCACTATTACTGATACGACTACTGCTGCTGCTGCTGCTACTACCACTACTACTAAAACTACAACTAGTATTACTACCACTACTACTACTACTACTACCACCACCACCACCACTACTACTACTACTACTACTACTACTACCACCACCACCACTACTACCTACTACTACTACTACTACTACTACTACTACTACTACTACTACTACTACTACTACTACTACTACTACTACTACTACTACTACTGACTACTACTACTACTACTACTACTACTACTACTACTACTACTACTACTACTACTACTACTACTACTACTACTACTACTACTACTACTACTACTACCTACTACCTACTACTACCTACTACTACTACTACTACTACTACTACTAACTACTACTACTGCTACTACTACTACTACACTACTACTACTACTACGACTTACTACTACTACTACTACTACTACTACTACTACTCTACTACTACTACTACTACTACTACTACTACTACTACTACTACTACTACTACTACTACTACTACTACTACTACTACTACTACGACTACTACTAATACTACTACTACTACTACTACTACTACTACTACTACTACTACGACAGCCACTACGACTACTGGAACTACTACCACTACCATTGCGATTACTATTACTACTACTACTATTACTGCCCTTACTACTACTACTACTACTACTACTTCTACTACTACTACTGCTACTACTATGACTACTCCGACTGCTACTACTACTGCTACTACGACTACTACTACTATCGCTACTACTGCTACTACGATTACTACTACTACTACTACTACTACTACTACTACTACTACTGCTGCTACTACTACTACTATTTCTAGTACGACTACTACTACGACTAGCACTATTACTACTACTACTACTACTACTACTGCTACTACTACTACGACTACTACTACTACCACTACTACTACTACTACTCCTACTACTACTATTACTAGAACTACGACTACGACGACGACTACGACTACTACTACTACTGCTACTACAACGACTACTACGTCTACTACTACTACTACTACTACTACTACTCCGACGACTACTACTACTACTACTACTACTACCACCACTACTACTACTACTACTACTACTACTACAACTACTAATACGATTACTACTACAACTACTACTGCGCCTACTACTACTACGACTATTAGTACGACAGCGGCTACGACTACCATTACTACTACGACGACGACTACTACTACGACTGCTAATACTACTACTACTACTACTACTACTACTACTACTACTACTACTACTACTACCACTATTACTACTACTACTAACTACAAACTAGAAACTACAAACTACTACTACTACTGCTACTACTACTACTTCTACTACTACTACTACTACTACTACTACGACTACTACTACTACTACTACTATTACGACAACTATTACTCCTGTTACTGCGACTACCACTACTACTACGACTTCGATTACTACTACTACTAGATTACTACTACTACGACTATTACTACTACTACTACTACTACGACTGATGCGACTATTACTCGTATTACTACTACTACTACTACTACGATTACTACTACTACTACTACTACTACGACTACTACTACTACTGCCACTGCTACTAATACTACTACTCTTACGACTACTACTACTACTGCTGCTACTGCTACTACTACTAGTACGACTACTACTACTGTCACTACTACTACTAGTACTACGACTACTTCTACGATTACTACTACTACGACTACGACGACTACCACGGGCAATTCTAGTACTACTCCTACTCCTACTACTACTACTACTATTACCACGTCTACTTCTACTACTACTACTACTACTACTACTACTACCACGACTGCCACTACCATTAAGACCACCCTTGCTACCACTATGATCCCTACCACTACGACTACGACTACTATTACTACCGCAACCATTATCACTGCGACTACGAGCAATACTACTACGACTACGACTACGGCTACGACTACTACCTCTGCTACAACCACTACTACTAGGGTTACTATAACCACTACGACTACTAGTAGTAGTACTATTGCTGGTATTAATGCTACTACTGCTACTACTACTACTACTACTACTACTACCTCTACTACTACTACTACTACTATTACTACTACTACTACTACTACTACTACTACTCCTACTACTACTACTACTACTACCACAACGACGGCGACGACGACGACTACTATTACTACTATTACTACTACTGCTACTACCACCACTACCACTACTACTGCTGCTACTACTACTACTATTACGGCTACTCTTAGTAGTATTACGGCTACGGGTACGACTCCGTTTTGTATTACTAGTATTTCTACCTTGGCTACGACGTACTACCACGACTACTACGACTATTGCAACTACGACTACTACTTGCAGGGGTAGTACTACTACTACTACGAGTACTACTACTAGTGCTATCAGTACTACTACCACCGCTACTACTATTACTACTACGACTACTACGAGCATTGCGACTATTACGGCTACCCGTACTATTGTTACTACTACTACTACTACTACTACTACTACTACTACTACTACTGCTAGTACGACTACTACTACCACGTCTACGATTACTACCACTATTACTACTACTACTACTTCTACGACTACGACTACTACTACTACTACTACTACTACTACTACGACTACCACTGCTACCATTACTTCTACTATTACTACTACTACTACTACTACTACTACTACTACTACGATTACTACTACTACTACTAATAATAATAATACGATTGCGACCATCCACACTACTAGTATCATGACTACTACTACTACTACTACTACTACTACTACTACTACTACTACTACTACTACTAGTACTACTGCGACTACGACTCGTTTTACCACTCCACACATATTGCCACTACTACCATTACGACGAGTATTAATACCACGCGTGTAATTATCACCACAACTACTACTAGTACTACTACGACTTGTACTACCACTACTACTACTACTACTACCACTACTACTACTACTACTACTACTACTACTACT